TTTTTTTTTTTTTTGGCTCATCAATATGATGAGCTTTCATGTCCGAAACCACATTCAGTGTCTCACATCCCCAATGTCCCGTCCCCGTCCCCTCACATTCCCACATGCCCGGCTGAATTCTGTCCCCGGTGATTCCACACCCTCTCCAAGGCCCCTTTCCAGCACTTCATCTACCCCAGCTGAGTTTTTCCTTCTATCTAGAATTTCCCTTTCTGCAACTTGGGCTTATTTCCCGTCCTTTACTGTGCACACGAGCCTGCCCTTTCCATGACCAGTAAGTTGTGAAAAACTGGTACCAGATCAGCCCTCGATGTTCTTTTCCCCAGGCTGGATGATGGATTCTCCTCACCTCTCTCCATGCATCCCGTGGCTCAACCCTCCGCACCTGCTCAGTGGCTTTGCTGGACACACTTCACTCCACACACAGAAAATTCAGCCAGCCCCAGCCCTGAGCAACCTGCTCCAGCTCGGAGCAGGAAGATCTCCAGGGGTCCCTTCAGCTATTCCCCAATTCTGGCCCTCAAACTGTGGGCTCTAGACTTCCCTCAATGTTTCCCCAGGCTCCTGAACACCTTGTTCTGGGCAATTTATAGCTCCTTCCCCCATCCCAACTTCCCGATCCTCAGCCTAGAGCCAAGCGCCTCCTCAGAAGTTTTGACTCCAAGCCCTGACTGATGGTCTCAGTGCGCTGCAATCCCAACCCTTGCCAAGAAATCCTGCAGGGCCCACTGGAAATTACAAGACCAACCATAAGACCAGACTGAAAACAGTCACTGTACCCCTCAAGCTTGCGTGTGCGGTGCAGACACAGAGGCAGAGTGACGTGCATGGAAATCTCAGCAGCAGATGAAGCTTCCACTCCATCAGCTTTCACCTTTTTTGCACCTTGGCCCCAACACTGTAAAGAGCCGAACGACATCAAAAATTCCGTGACAGCTGCTGATTTGACAGTCTCTTTATTACACAAAGTCTTATTACATACAGCATTCGAAAGACAGCTCGCAGGGAAGGAAAGCTCCAGTTACAGCTTGGGAGGCCCCGTCAGCCTCCAGCCCTCCTTGTTACCTATCTTGAAGAGAGCGGCAGTAATTCCAAACCCCAAACACGCAGTGGTACCAGTCATGTAACTGTGAACTGCAAAAAAAACACATCAAACCACAGAAGATCTATTAGGGCACAGGCACTATCCAGCAGATCTCAACAGACTCTGCAAATTTTCCATGAGCTATTCGCAGTCCCTTGACTATCAGCAACGTTGTTTGCCAAGAGAAATCGGAAGTTACTTTTTTTTTTTTTAAAAAATTTTCTCACGCTTTTAGCTTGCAACTCAAAATATCTATTTCTATAATCCACTACCCCATCTCCTTACAGAGGGAATCTTAAATTTCTTATTTCAGTGACAAAACCAACAATCACTGCTTCAAACTCTCATCAGCTCAGCAACTAGGAAAAGTAAAAATAAATTCTATTTCACCACAATGACAACTTAAATAAATCCCTCACATCTTTAACACTGAGTCTGAATGCCTACAGAAAACAGCTGTATAAATATCTGCAGGAGCTAATCCAGCCTGGCAAGATGCCACAGGAACAACAGCAGCAAGATACAGCTTGTCCCTCAGAGTGCATGAAGAACTCACAAGGCAGATGCTAGATTGTACTTTCCCTGTAAAATAAATCGCATTTGTTGCCAAGAAAACACGGATTTCCACAACTATGTTCTTCACACCCTGCAATTTTAAGTCATAACCGGCAGCACTGGGTGAGCTCTTGTTTCCATTCTGTAAATCAGTTTGATGTTTTCTCTGGTGTCCTCCTGTAGCTGTATTTATTTGAGCAGCCCTGTACCAATGAAACTGGCACGAAATGGAATTCAGATCTTGAGATGAATCTTTACCAAATAAGCCTGATATCAAGATTATTTTACATTCTTCCCTAACAGAAAGATTCTCAGGAAACAGAGAGGGCTCATTTCATTACAGGCATTATCCACATTTACCTCTTGCACCCAAGACGGCTCCCGTTGCGCAGCCTCCTATGAAATAGTCCAAGGGACTGTCTGGTTCCTCTCTGATTTGGGCACTGAGGCACGTAGTTACTCCAAACACAGCTCCTAGTGTAGCTGTAAACAAGAGGTAAAAAACCAACACCCCCCTCAAGGAACTGAGAATTACACACAAAGCACATTTTTGAGACACGCAGTGCTGTACAAGAGTTCCTCTGAGAGGAGGGGAAAATGAAGCAAGACCTGCTTTCGGCTACCCAGGGGCGTCATGTCCTTGCCACTACGGTGAGTCTCAGCATTATCCAAGTCCCGCCCAGTGCCTCCTGCGGTCCAGCAGCGCAGCCCTCCCCGTGCCACCGCGGTCCTGCAGGGGCCACCGCAGCCCTGAGGTGGGTGCCCAGGCGCCCCGCGCCAGCGCCCAGCTTGGTCGCAGTAAGAGCCCTTCCAAATGAGGCAAGGGGCAGCCCCCCAACAGCCAGGGGGAAGGAGAGGAGGAGGTTTCTCTGTAGCACGTTGCCCCGGGGTGTAGGAGCCAGCAGAGTTCTGTTTGGGCTCTGCACTGAAACTCTGCTCACAAGTCCCCGCGGCTCCAGCCCCACGGGGAATCAGGCAGAGAAATTCAGATGGCTCTGCCCTCCTTAAGGTCAGTTTGTCCCTGGCATTTTACTCCTCTGCCTGCCTGGGGCTTGCAAAGACTTCTGGATAGTAGAAAAATGGATTGAGTTTGTAAATTTTTTATAAACTGATTTTGAAATTGAATTAACAATTCTGAATCAAACTAAAAAACTACAAAAGAGCATTGTCTTGTCCACTGAGTTACATACCTCATCCCTAAATCTATGTAACTGCAAACTTTGGCAAATAACTGTGTCAAGCAGACACAAAAATTAAATTAAAAAAATAATTTTTGTTTTTAATACAGGTTCTTGATCATGAATATGAATCTGGCTACCAGGCACCATCTGCAGATTTCAATTCATCTTTCTTGGGAACAGCAAAAGCGTCCAGGATAAAAATTTTCAATCTCTATGGTAAATTAGTAAATCACAAGCTCATGTTACAAACCTCTGCATTTTTTCAGCAGAAAGTGCAATTATGCTGATCCTACAATCAGCTGAGAAGAGCAAACCCACAGACCAAGGACAGTATTTCAGCTTCCCATCTTTCTCTGCTTTGGACCAAGGGGTCTGTAGGTAAAACACACAGCTTGAGACCACGAGGTCTGGGCCCTTCACAGTGGGCAGGATAAGCCCTTCCTCAGCTGTGAGAAATGGTAAGAAGATTTAATATGCTGTCTTAGGACTATGGGATTTATTGAAATTGTAACTGGTTACATTATCCAGACCATTATAACGACTTTCTATGGCTCAACTTGTTACAGGAGAGTCCAGGTCCTGGTTTAGAGTTGAACAATTCAAAAATGCAGATCTGAACTGCTGGTGAACCTGCTTCCAGTTCAGAGCACTAATGCATGGGGAGAAAGAAGTGACAAAACCCACTAAATTAGACTGAAAACAAGATGAGTTTGGTGAGAAAACTCCACACTTGCCAAGGGGCTGGGGGAGCTTCAGCCTTGCGGATCAGCACCTGCATCTGGAACAGGCTCCTCAGTTCCCTGCTTGTCTCTTCGCTGTCCCCTTTCTCTTGCAAAACAAAGGCAATTCGGGAAAACTAGCTGGTTTCTTCCTGGCTATACAGCATGATGGGAAACGTTGCATTTGCTCTTCAGCAACTGATTTATTAAGTGCAAAGCCTAAATATATGAAGCAAAAAAGTAAGTTTCGACTTCTGTCCATAAACTAGCTGGTTTGCCAGTAGTGAAAAGCTGTACCTTTCACTCTAGACTGTAAAAAATGCATTACCTGCACTTCCCATAAGGAACGTGTCTTTACATAAAGATCACGGGAGGCAGAGGCCGCCTCAGCCTGAGCTGACACGGCTGTTGTTCTGCTCAAGCATTAATCCAGGCGTTTCTTCTGCCATCACCCATATGTGGTATTGTGTTATCCAGAAAAAAATATTATGCATGTGTGAATAATCACAGAATCAACTAGGTTGGAAAGGACCTTGCAGCTCCTCCAGCCCCACCATGACCCCCACCCTGACCGTTCCCAGCTCCCCCAGACCCCTCAGCGCTGGCTCAGCCCGACTCTTCAACCCCCCCAGGGATCCCGGGGACTCCCCCCTGCCCTGGGCAGCCCATTCCAACGCCCCACAGCCCCTTCTGCACAGAAATCCTTCCTCAGAGCCAGCCTGACCCTGCCCTGGGCAGCTGGAGGCCATTCCCTCGGGGCCTGGCGCTGGGGCCTTGGCTCCAGAGACTCATCCCCCCTCTCTGCCCCCTCCTGGCAGGGAGTTGCTGAGGGCCGGGAGGTCTCCCCTCAGCCTCCTCTTCTATACCCTCCATTGTGATGTGACACGTAATGGGTGCCGTGTTAGAGAAAACACAGCAGAAGGAAACACCAACTGTAAAGCTTCGCACTTCACCCAAGCCGTTCCGGCACTCCAACCACGGCGGAGCGCAGAGCTGGGGCTGTCTCTTATACAC